ACAGCGCTGGACTCAAATCGACCACATTGTCATCGGTCAAAGCTGGCGAGGATACATTGAAGACTGCCGCTGCTACTGGTCAACAACCGTGGACAGAGACCATGCTCTGCTACGAGCGAGATTCTCTTTACGCCTAGTAAACAAATACAGAAAAGCCACCGAAAACGGATGCCCAAGATACAATATTCGCAATGGTTGCAAATCGGCCTTCAAAGAGGAACTATCAGATCTCTCAGCACAACCATCAGCCGGAAGACTCAGTGAGCACTGGACGGCAATCAAGGAAGCGATCAAAATGTCAATCAAAACAACAGTAAATTCTGATTCACGATCAAACAAAAACGATGGATCTCCTGACTTCGGTGCCCTGCTGGACGCTCGCAAAGCGATTACTTCGGATTAAAACGACGATAAAGCGCGTAAATCCCTTAAACGCCAGCTGATCAAGAGTCTGAGGAATGACCGCGAGAAGTAGTACGTACGAAACTGTAGAGAGATGAAGAAGGCTGCGGCTATCGGTAATATTCGCAATCCTTTCCGATTAATTAAGAGCACAGGTCCAAGGAAAGCAGGCGTAAGTGAGGCAATTAGGGATTCCGACGGCAAACTAATCCACATTCAGCAATGCCGTCTAGATCGATGGGCAGAACATTTTAAAGCTCAGTTCAGCTAGCCTTCGTAAACATAAGACCTCCCTAAACCCGATTCAACTGGGCAAATACTGCCAGTTGACATCAGTCCTCCATCTGAAATGGAGGCTACCCGAGAAATAAGCTATCTCAAAAGGTAAAAAGCCTCCGGCCTCAACGGGCTCTTTCCATCGGTTTGTAAGGATGCAGGTTCACCCTTGGTTTTGGAGCTAACAAAACTCATGGGTTCAGTGTGGGAAAAGGAACAGGTTCCCACTGATTGGCGTGAATCGGTGATCATACCGATGTACAAAAAAGGCAACAGGTTCTCTTGTGAAAACCACAGAGGAATTAGTTTAATCAACGTTGCCTCTAAACTTCTCGCCGGCATCATACTCCGTCGATCGTCCGCCGCTCGTGAAAAGTACACACGCGAAACAAGGCTGGTTTTAGACCTGATCTAGGTTGTATCGACCACATCTTTACTCTTCGTCAAATCCTAGAACACAGACACTTTTTTCGTAGACTCATCATTTCCATCTTCCTCGACCTGAAAGCGGCTTTCGACTCAGTCGACCGCTCTAAACTCTGGCGCTGCTTTGTTCTGAAAGGGTGGGCCCGAGAAGTTTATTTCAATATTAAAATTCCGCTACAATAATAGTAGAAGCCGAGTCCGAGCTTACGGCACTTTTTCATCCGAGTTCACCACGGAAAGTGGTGTTCGACAGGGTTGCCCTCTCTCTCCATTTCTGTTAAACTTCGTTATAGATTTGATTATGAAAGCAGCCCTATCCTCGTGCGGGGATAGCGGCATCGATTTACTCCCAGGTGGAAGATTTTCTGATCTAGGGTATGCAGACGACATTGTGCTACTAAGTGAAGATCCAGATAAGTCGCAAGCTTTTCTCGATAGTTTGAGTGCTAGTGTAGGCATGTTCGGCATGCGCTTTGCACCTTCAAAGTGTAAAATGCTGCTCCTAGATTGGGTTGGCTCAGCCCCCAGCCTCATCCTGACCGGGGAATTAGTAGAGAAAGTAGACAAGCTTTGCTTTCTGGGCAGCTATATCTCACCCGGCGGACGCATCACAGATGAAGCGCCGGCGAGCATACAGAAAACTCGGTTGCCAAATTGAGACATATGTGGCGCCGTCGCGACATCTGATTGTCTGTGAAGGGCCGAGTATACGCTGCAGCAGTTCGGCCAGTTCTGTTTTACCGTGCAGAGACTTGGCCATTAGGGAACCGGGATAAAAATAGATCGTCGGTGTTCAAACACCGCTGTCTACGTAGCACTGCACGAGTCTGGTGGGATAACCGGACGAGCAATGCTGAGATTAGGTGTGCAGTTTTAGGTATTCGCGGTCGTCCACTGGAATAGGTAGTCGACCATAGATTAAGCTGGTTGGGACATGTGCTACGCATGTCACCAGATAGGTTGCCACGGCGAGCGATGCTTGG